TTCCTCGAGAGAGTGTCAAAAACAAATGCAGCCCAGTAGAAACAGAGCTCTTTGCTGCAGTTAGAAGATTGCTATTCCTTTCAATTAATTCAATCTGAACCTGTTTATGCATCTCTTGTGAACAATTTGCAGAAAATTTTTAGCACTTTGCTTCCCATCGTACTGCTGGAAGTCTTGTAAATCCTGTGCACTTGGTGTAAGTGGGAAGTAAAATTAATTTCTTTGCAAACAAGGCTTCTCAGCTTTACAGAAAGGACCCAGTGTAAACAGGGTCTTTAAAATTATACAGGGTTTTAAAAATTATATATTGTTGAACATTTTTTCCAAAACTACTTTAATCTACTTAGCACTGGCAGTCATTGAGTAGATTTTTTCTTTTATCCGGCATCTTAGTGGTGAAGATAGGCCCCTAGGTGTCCTGTAAGGGTATGTTCAAAATGGTGTAGATGTGATCAGAGTGTAAAAGGGTTCTTTCTGCCATCTAGTGGCAACAAAACCCCCACTTCTATTCACTTAATTAATAATCTCATTAATTGTGTCTGCATTGTCAGCAGAACGAGGTGTAGTAATCCTCAACTGTCCTAAATTTAAGAAGATAGCAGTCACTTTTTACTTTGCTTTTCCACAAAATAAACAACCTCTATTTTCCTTGCCTTGACATCTCATAAAAAAATCCAAATCCCTGTTTGTTGTCTGAATGCCTTTTGAGTGCACTGTTTTTAAATTTCCTCTGTGTGTTTCCCTATATGATGCACTGCTACTGAAATACTTTAAGGTTTAGAAGCCTTTCTTTGGTGCTAAGACACTGGGAAAAGATACTGTCCACACAGGGAGATAAAATGTTGCCTGTAGTGGAATGCATCTCTAAAACCCTTCTGAAGACGGGTGGGTTCCCCTGTGGAGCAGGCAGCATTTGCCTCTGAAGGAGCAGTGAGCTCTATGGAGCTGCTGCATTTCAGAATGGTTACTCTTATACTTAAATCTGATTTCTGAGGCTTGCTGGTGTCCCATTTCCCTGTAGCCATTTACTTCTTTTGACAGGCAGCTACCTTTGCCACCTTTTACAATCTGCAGCCTGTGCTTCTCTTAAAAAATATATGGCTCTGCTTGAATGTGTTATAGCTCCACACTGGTGGGAGGGGATAGAAAAGGAGACCATTCATGCCAAACAGAATCCTTATTCATGGGTCAAGTTGTAAGGAACTTGGGCTCCCACCTCAAAAAGTTAATTGGAGCCTTTATGTAATTAAAACTGCAATTCTCACTTTCCTGAAAGTGATTTAGGCTGGATTTAGCAAGATGAAGCATAGCCCCTACTTTCTCCAAGACCTGTAGTGTAAGGGTATTGAAAATGGTGAATAGTGTAGAATGGCTAACAGAACCCTGCAGAAGATACTGTTAAAAATAATGTCTAAGGTGTTCGGTGGGTTCTTTTTTTGAGTACATAAAGTACTTTGAATAAAAAAAAGTCAGAGAAGGCCAATGTTTTATCAGCAGCTCTTAAAAGCTGCATTTTGAGCCTCTCTATGTAAGAATAAATTCTCTATAAGATTAAAGCTATCTGCTTGCTGGCTTCCATCTCAGCAGGAGTCCAGGAAAATTTTCCTGGTGTTAATTTCACAGTGGTAACAGTATGATACTTCAAAAAACAACCTTATCTTCTCATGTAGGATTCCTACTGTGCCTCTCTTAATTCCTGGTTATCCCCTGCCTGTTCCATTTAGTTATGTAATTTATCATATTTTAAAATTAGTTTTATGCCTTTTACTCAAAAAGAATTTAGAAAGAAAATTAAAACCTCTACGATATCGTCTCCCTTTTTTGGTTATAATTACAGCAATAGCTACTTCAGATTTCTAATTGTGGGGCACTTGGGTACTGAAGAAGGGAAGGTTTCTAAAAATGCAACTTTATTTAGGGGAAAAAGTAGCAACTTGTCAAAACCACATTACCATCAAATTAAATTAATAGTCTGTTAAAACAGGGTTAGTGAGAGAGATGATGGTATATCATTCCTTACTGTAGCCAGGTTTGTGCTCCCTCCAGCAGCACTTGATCCTTGGGACAGGTGGCCTTTTTGCCCACACAGTTTGTCCTTTCCAGGATTGGAAGAAGTTTGAGCAAAGTCCCACGTGACACTTCTGCAAGGTCAACTCCTGTGAGATTGTATGTAATCCCCTTACAAAGAATAAAAATGTAAACATGTCTTTTGAACTTGAAAAAAAAAAGGAAAATTAAACCTTCACAATTTTGGAATTAAATCTTGGAATGACCTGACCTGGGTAAAGATGCCAAGGAACCTGGTAATTTTGCTGAGAATCTGGAGTTGGAAGTTGTTCTTTATTTATTTGTTGTGTATGCCAGTATCACAGTGTTGTGTGTGCCATCTGAGGACAGCTGGCAGGTAAAGGGCTCAGTTCTGAGGAGCAGCCAGCTCCCAGTATGTGGCTCTTTCCTTTCACAACAGTAGCATATGAAAAAACTTCACCTAAGCTGCACGCTTGGACACAGGCTGGGCTCAACAGTTAGAGCATGGAGGCACATCATGTACAGCAGCTCCCAAAACCAGCTTGCTAGAAGCAGATTTCAGCACTTAGATTCTTCAGGGTGCTGCCAGCCCTTTGCTACAGCCAGGAACCTGCTTAACGTGGTCTAGTTCAAACAATCCCATCCATCTCCAGTCTTTCCTATGTCATCTTGTTATGCAGATTCTTCTCATTCCACATGTTCTAACAAAGGTTTTCCTCCACACTCACAATCTGACTCTGAAATTCAGTAAGTGTGTTGAAACTTTCTGCATTTGAGATTATTTCCTTTATTTCAGTTGGCACAGAGTACATGTCCAGTGCCAGTTTCTCCAGTTCTGCCACTTCTTTTCTTAAATGTGCTTCCATCTTGGTAATAACATTCAGGCCTGTGAATGTTTAGATAATAAATCCATTAACCATTCTTTTGGTGAACAAATCTTTGTATCAGGTTTAAAAAAGGAATTTAATTATTTCAATCAACCTATATCTCTACGATTGGCCATACTTAGAGTAAAAATAGGTTGGGAATGGTGTGGGTGTGTTTTAGCCTTCCATTGCAAGGCCACACAAGAAAGCAAAATAGCAAGAAAAACTGGAAAATGCTGCCTGAGATATGAAGCTCAGTCTTGTCCTGGGGCAGGCATCTGCATCATTTAAGTTCTTCCTTGCTTTATCTTAAAATCTCATAGGGTCTGTCTGGGGTGTTTGCTCCTGCACTTCTTACAGGACGAGTGTCCTGCTCCTCCCATGCTCCAGGGGTTACAAAAGCAAATTGCTGCCTGAGTTGTTTCTTGGTTAGTTTATATTAATCTCATTTTTGTGCTGATACTGCTCACCCTCTTGTTATTTCCCTTCCCATATTACTTAACCCCCAACCCCCTAAGGCATTTGCAACAGCTAGTTAATATTTTCTCTACCTTTATTTTGACAAATTTGTTTAAGGAGGCTCTAGCCTTCTTTAGGGCACATGGTGTTGACACCAATTTGCCGTGTTCTTGTGTATTAGCCTTCCAGGTTTGTTTGGTTTTTTTTTTTCCTATAAGAGGAGATGAAACACTAGGTATTAAGAAATGTTCTGCTATGAGGGTGGTAAGGTACTGGAATGGGTTACCCAGAGAAGTTCTGGATGCCCCAGCCCTGGAAGTGTTGCATGGGACTCTGAGCAGGCTGCTCTGGTGGAAGGTGTCCCTGCCCACAGCAGGGAGAGGGCGAGATCGAGATGGTCTTTAAGGCTCCTCCCAACCCAACCCATTTTAGTATAGACTTGTAACAGAAAAGTGCACTCTTTTCCAGATGGGGTCTTAACAGGGTTTGTATGATAGCTTCTGAGTTTTTGATGCTCTTAAATCCCGTTCTCTTTCTGACACATTAACAAAGGTTGGTTACTCCTCTGTCTTTAAAAACTAAAGCAGAAATGGTCGAAAGGACAAGGTTTCTTTAGATCAGGAACTGCACCATTCCCCTTCTTGTTCATCTTGTTACTGGAATAAAGAGTCTTCCACAGAAGCCAATTAGAAGTTAGATTAACCTCAGAAAATTTTTCTTTGAAGACAGAGCTTGAGCACTTGTAAAAGACTGGCCCAGCTGCCAGTCTTGCCAACTTGCTTTAATGAAAACAGCTGTAACATTTCAGAGCTGAGCAGTGCTGTTCACACAATCTAGTTCATACAAGCAAGAGGGTAGGAAATTTTACCTTCTGAGAGAGGGTTAAGCACGATGTTCACTGTGTTCTTGTCTGCCAGGAGTCCCAGCATGTCACAGGCATTGGATGGCCACGGGAGGGGCAGGGGGATGCTCTGGAAAATGGTTTGCAGGCAGGGTCTGGCTGCTGCTCCCCAGAGGAGTCCAGCGAGCTCTCCAGTCCATCACGGGGACAGATAGAGCTGGGCTGACCAGAGGGTGCAGCTGAGGAGCGGAGCAGCTCCGCAAAGCAACAACCCCCTCAGAGTCATCTCCTCAGAGAGCTGCGGTCAGCCTGGAGGAGGCCTCGGAGCAGGCTTCCCCTACCTACGGGGGCCTGTGAGAGAGCTGGAGGGGGACTTTTTGCAAAGGCATGTAGTGGCAGGCCGAGGGGAATGATTTAAAAATGAAAGAGGACAGATTTTAAATTGATATTGGGAAGAAATTCTTCCCTGTGAGGGTGCTGAGGCACTAGAAAAGGTTGCTGGGGCAGCCGTGGATGCCCCATCACTGGCAGCGTTCCAAGGCCAGGCTGATGAGGCTTTGAGCCCCCCGGTGTAGCGGAAGGTGTCCCTGTGCAGGGCGTGGAACCGGGGCGCCTTTGGGGTCCCGTCCAGGGACGCGCGCCTTTCCCGCGGCGCAGGCCGGCCCCGCTCCTGGGCGCTCCGTTCCGCCCCGGCCGGCGGCGGCAGCGGCGCGGCTCCGCCCCGGAAGCCGCGGGGGATGGCGGTCGCGGGGCGGCGGCGGCGGCGGCGGCGGGAGCGGCGGCGGGGCCGGGCGGGGCGGGCGCGGGCGGCGGCGGCGGCGGGCGGCGCCCCCGGGCAATATGTTCAAGAGAATGGCAGAGTTCGGGCCTGACTCCGGCGGCAGGGTGAAGGTGCGGCCGCGGCGGGGCTCGGGCCGCGGGGGTCGGCGCGGTACGGCAGCGCCTCTCAACGCGCCCTGTCCGCTTGTGCTCCTTTCTTTAGGGCGTTACCATCGTGAAGCCGATCGTGTACGGCAACGTCGCGCGGTATTTTGGGAAGAAGAGAGAGGAGGATGGCCACACTCACCAGTGGACGGTGTACGTGAAGCCGTACCGGAACGAGGTACGGCAGAGCCGCTTCCCCGAAAGCCTGGCCCGGTTTTGGAACAGGCGGGCTGGGAAAGCGGGAGCTGCCATCCACGGAAATGTGCAAAACGCCTGTGGATGTGGCACCTGGGCCATGCCTTAGTGGTGATGGCCTTGGGGTAAGGGTTGCGCTCCGGGATGTTAGAGATCTTTCCCTGCCGAGCAGCACCGGGACGTGGGGGTTTGAAAAGCCGGGATTAGAGGAAAGGGCAGGAGGGTCTTTGGCTGTAAGCTGAGAAAACACAGAGGCTGGTGGGTTTCCAAAAAGGAAAACCATGGAAAAGGCATGCTTCCGTTTTTTGGAGTGATCTTTCCAGTGTAGGGGAAGACTGGAGAACATTCATGGGGATGAAACACTGAAAGAGAACTGTGTGCAAGAACTAATTTTTAGATTTACCGCTTTGCTTTCCTTCTGTGCTTAAAGTCAGAAGAAATACTATTTAAAATCAGAAAGAATGTAGGCACATAGGATAGATGACTGAATAGTAGCTTGGTGTGCTGAAATAATAATAATCAGAAATAACAATGTTTCTGTTTTAGGACATGTCTGCATATGTGAAAAAAATTCAGTTCAAGTTGCATGAAAGCTACGGTAATCCTTTAAGAGGTGGGTTTTGCATTTCAGCAGTTGTTCCTAGAATTGGGTGTTTGTTCTGCCTTTATCATGGTGTTAACACTTCTGTGTTGCCTATTGCAGTTGTTACCAAACCACCATATGAAATCACCGAAACAGGCTGGGGTGAATTTGAAATAATCATTAAGATATTTTTCATTGATCCAAATGAAAGACCTGTAAGTACATTGAAGTTTTAACAAAGCTTAAATAATTAATTATGGTGGCTGACAGCTCTAGGAAATTGCTGGACAAAATAAGTCTTATTGTAATAAAAGTCTCTTCTTGTAGAAGATAATTTAAGGATTGGTCACATTTTCTTCTTTCTATGCTACACTCCTGGTATTCATGGCTGCTTTTCCTGTGCTTGGCTTCTCTGATATTTACTAACTTGTGACCACATATTGCACATTACCTGGGTTGAGCACACACTGAGGATTTCTCTTCCACAGAGCTTCCAAGTTCTAGGATATTTAAGTATTTTTTTTTTCTGTCAGATCAAAATCAGTCAAAAAGCAGCAGGGCTACTATACTAGCATAAATCTCTGCCTAAGACCAGGTTAAAAAACTCTGTAGTTGTGTAAAGTGCTGGAATTAATTTCTTTCTTTCATTCCTGTGTTTTAGCCATATCTTGTAGGTTTGTGTATTCAGATCTAGTAGGAAACTTGATTACTCTATTTTAGGTAAAAGGATGTTTATTTTGGGAATAATTGACTTCCTTCTGTCACATGAACAATCCTTTTTTTAATCCATTTTTTGCTGAATGAGAGTGGAACTGAATTTCATGTTTTTCTGGAATGTGTGGCGATTGGTAACAACAGGTTTCCTGTGCTGTTGGGCTCGGTAGCACCCTGACTTTTATTAATTCCATTCACAGCTTGACCAAGCTGTCCTAAGGTTGGTTGGGTGTTTTTCTTTGCTGCTGTTCTTGGAAGGCAGTTTGGGAGCCTGTCACGTCCTTCCTTTCCAGGAGGTCCCAAGGGGAGTCGGGTGCTGCTCTGTTCCACCACAGCTCCTGGGCCTGTGTGTGGAAGGGGAGAAGCGTGGGCTGTGTGTGCCCTTCCCAGGCCAGGTGGCCAGTGGCTCCTCAGGGCTGCACAGAGGGTGCCAGTCCTCTCCCCACCCTGCCATTTGCAGGGCAAGGATGGAAGAGTAACCCCAGAAAGAGAGATTTCAGTGAAAGGCGATTCACAGCCTCCCTGGTGCTTCAGTTTCTCAACAATAGAGGATAAGGTCACAGAAAGCACTTTCTAACTGATTGAGAAAGTCAATTTGAATTAAATCACCCATTTGGAAATGGTGGTATTAGTATTTTTTATATACCAGTCCTAAACCACTTTCCCAGACATTTTTAAAGTCTCAAGAGACCTTTAGATAGTTGGCATGTTTTAAAAGTTAACATTAAATTCAAAGCAATTCTGCTGAAGCTATATGACATTTATATTTGCATTCCTAAAACATTTTTAAGTCTTATACAGTTATTTTGTAGGAACAAATACTACTTGTTGATATGTAGAACAAGTTTTTTATTTCGCTACAATTTTTAAGCTAATAAAATTCTGTCTTTTGAATAGGTAACTTTATATCACTTGCTGAAGCTTTTTCAGTCGGATACCAATGCCATCCTGGGGAAGAAAACTGTAGTTTCTGAATTCTATGATGAAATGGTATGAACATTTCTAATGTAATCCTCACTTTATTTTGAAGAGTATTAGTGATACCATGTATTTTTCTCCTTCATTAGATATTTCAAGATCCTACTGCAATGATGCAGCAGCTGTTAACAACGTCTCGTCAGCTAACACTAGGTGCTTATAAACATGAAACAGAGTGTAAGTTGAAAATTAAAATATTTTAAACTTTAGAAATAACAATAGTTTGATTTGCTTTTAATGTATTTTTTGGGGGGGCTGTAACAGTACAATGGATTTGCATGCTGCAAAAAGGTGGTAATTTTGCATTAAATTTAACTTCAGCTTTTGCAAGGGTAGTAATATTTACCTAAAAACTTTTCTTATCCCTATGGCTCTAAAAAAAAAGGAATTAGAATTGGTATGAAGAGTGATGGCATGAACTACACCTAGTCTGACATCTTTGAAATTAATTAAAACAGAGGGTAAATGAAGGCCACCTTATGGTACAGTTCTGTTCAGCACTGCAAGCAAAGGTCACACTTGAAGGCCTGAAGTACAGAACAGTTAGTGATTTTTCAGTCAAAGCAGCAACTCTTTGTGGATAAAGAGTAGTGTCTGAAAGCTCTTTTTTCCCTTCTACTTCTTTAACTATGTATGTAGGTAATTTCAAACATACTCCTTAAGTACAGCGTAATGGTTTTTGTGTCCTTTTTATCCAATTTGTTTCCAAATATAAGCAAAAATATTAAGGGAATTAAGGAAACTAAATTAAAGATCCATTGGTTCCTGAGTTGTAATGCATTTAGTGATTATTTATGTTCTGATCTTCTGTATTTCATCTGTTATTTGCTTTCTGAGAGTAGAAGATGTAGTATTTATTGAGCCAAAATCCTGCCCTATTGATTACAAACATTAATCCATTGCAGTCCACCCCACCTGGCCTTCTGTTCACCCAGCAACAAATGTCATGTAGTTTTTGGCCAGCAGAGCTAAGAATGGCGAGTGATTATGAATTTGAAGCTCTTCAAAGTTAGGGTTGCTATTTGCCTTATGTCTGCTTAGCTCTGTGGATATGTGAGCTACTTGTATTTCCTGCCTCAGTTCAGCCAGGCTTGAGGTGGCTTTTTGTTATTGTTACATGTTACAGTTTTTGTTTAGAAAATGTTTAATAATATGATGGATAAAAACATCCAAATTTAAACTTTTTTCATTTAAATTTTTTTGATATTTCTCCAGACAGTAGGTAGAAACTTTCAGTGTGGTTTTTTTGTATAAATACTTCCTTAAGATGTAGTAATGAAGCAGATATTTACCACTGCCCACAGCTATGTAGTGTATGGGATATGAGTGAATTCCACAGCCTTCATTGACTTGTTGGCTTTACCATCTTTGTCCTAAAACCTGTGAATGTAAAAATAGTAAAAAATAGGTACTTGATGTCAGATATTCATTAAAGCAGGGCAGCATAACTGAAACTTTCAGATCTGTAGAATTAAACTCCAGTGAGAGATAGAAAATGATTACAGTTACATGGAGAAGGAAACCCAGAATAGTGGAGGCTTGAAAGGACCTCTGGGTGCATCATGTCCATCCCCTGCCCTAGCAGGGCCACCTACAGCTGGCTTCCCAGGACTGTATCCAGATGGCTTCTAAATGTGTCCAGTGATGGGGATTCCACAACCTTTCTGGGCAACCTGTGCCACCACTTGGTCACTTTCACAGGAAAAGTTTCCTGATGTTCACAGGGAACCTCCCACGTTTGTTTGTGCCTGTGGCCTTGCGTGCTGTCGCTGGGCACCACGTATTCATAGTTCTCTATAATTTCCCATGTATTTGCTGTCACCATGTCGGATTTTATTTTCTTCACCTAATCTTTAAAAAAGAATGTAGAAAATTATTTTATTAATTGTATAGCTATCTACAAAACTGATGGGCTGAGGGATGAATGAGGCTGCAAAACGAACTTTTTTTTTTTTTTTTAAATCCAGATTCTTATGTGGATACCATTTTGATTACAAGCATTGAATTTCTAAAGCTAACAGAAACAGATTTTTCCTTTCAGGACCAATGCTATCCAAATTACTATTTCAGTTAAAAAAAAAAAAGCAAATTTCATGGCACTTAAAATATACTTTTTTTCTTTATCACTGCCACAGTTGCAGATCTTGAAGTAAAAACGAGGGAGAAGCTTGAAGCTGCCAAAAAGAAGACTAGTTTTGAAATTGCTGAGCTTAAAGAAAGACTAAAAGCAAGTCGTGAAACCATCAACTGTTTAAAGAATGAAATCAGAAAACTTGAAGAAGATGATCAGTCTAAGGATATGTGACAAGTGCTGACTTGAGTGTGTACTGAAAATGGAAAGATTTCAGTCATGGAATTGTATGAGTTCTCTTCAGTTCTGTAACTGAGACTATGAGAATTTCACTGACAAATGATTGAAGTTTGTGGCAATCAACTCCATAAATGGAAGAAAAAAGAAAGAATGTATCCTTGTTTTATAGTTAAAATCTGTGGGTACTTAACGATTTTTTTCAAGTGGAAGTGGTCTTGAAGACCAGACTACTTTTTCTTTGAAAACTGCATTTGAGTCGTGTATGAAAACTTTGTATTAAGTCTTGTATTAGTTCAATGTGATTTTACAAAATGCTGGTGTTTACTTTTTTTACTTTTTTTTTCTACTGATTGTTTAGACATGCATCTTTAAAGCTAAAAATAAAATATGCAGTTTTTTATTTTAATGTTTTTTGTCTCTGTCCAGCTGTGGGCTTCAACATCTGTAAGGAAGCTACTGTAAGTAGCATACTCTGATTTCAGGCAGAGGTTGAAATACAAAGGTATGCAAGTTATTTAAGTGTGGTTACAGAGATTTTTGGCATGTCTCTCTGTTACAGCACAATGAAAACACTTTCTGAAAACAGGATTTTAAATAACTTGTATATCCACAGGTAGGAGTTTCTAGCCCCAAAGCTGCTTTAACACATACAAATGTATCAATGCTACCGGCTATGCTCAGAAGCAGCAAATTATTCCAGTACTGTTTTGTAGGATTTTGTTTTGTATTTGTACTCTACTACACTCACTTCATCAAATATTGTCTCTGCCACTTCCTCCTCTCACTCTTCCCTGTTCCAGCCTGGTGTCCCTCCCACAAGAGGCAGTCTTCCATTAATTCCTCCAATTGGAGAGCTCCTCACAGGCTACATTTCTTCACAAAGCATGAAGTCCCTCATGAGGTCACAAGTCCTGCCAGCAAACCTGTTCCAGTGTGGGCTCCTTTCCAAGGGGCCACAGGAGCTGGTCCAATGCAGGCTTCCCACGGGATCAGAGGCTCCTTTGGGCATCCCTTTGCTCTGGTGTGTGCTGTTCTGCAGGCTGCAGGTGGATCTCTGCTCCAGCACCTGGAGCATCTCCTTCCTCACTGTCCATGGTGCCTGCAGAGTTGTTCCTCACACATTCTCACTCTCTCTGCTCCTGTTCCCCCTGCCCAAGCAGGTTTTTTTTCCCCTTTTTAAATCAGCAACCTGTTGGGCTCAGCCGTGGCCAGTGGCAGGTCCATCCTGGAGCTGTCTGGCACTGGTGGACACAGGGGAAGCTCCTGGCAGCTCCTCACAGAAGCCACCCCTACAGCCCCCTCACTGCCAAAGCCTTGCCACGTAATTCTTAAGTCACTTGCAAGAGTTTCCCCGAAAAATCTACCTGATCTCATCAATCCTTTAAGAAAAAAGCACTCCTTTCTTCATATTTGAAACAACTGATGATTGATGGGCTTTTACATGGCTTGGTAAAGTGAAAGTTTCATCACTCAGTATGTAGACTTAGGGTTTTCATTAAGAACAGCTACTTGGCATTCTTGGTTTATGGTGTTATGCATACACATAGGTTGAGGAGCACCTTGTACTGTGGTATCCAGACAGATCCTTCCTAGCAGTGCAGAATATCCAAATTTGTCAATTTTTGGCTACCTAAGTGCTTTGGTTTCTTTATTCAGTAGCCAATTTCCTTTTAAGCAGCAGCTGAAGAAGAGTGCCATGTTCAGAGCTGTGCACTGAGAATAAGACTTGCATGAGCCACAGTATGTTGTGCATGCTGAAATAAAAATGGGAATGGAAAGCACAATTTTTGGTGTATACAACATTATTATTTTCATATTTGTCAGTTAAAATAATAGTTAAAATAATAGTAATGATGACCAACTCAAATGGAGTATTAAGGAGGTTCTGCAGAAGCTGTGGCTAACATGAACAGGTCTGCTCAAACAGACTTGAACTGACCAAAAAATAATGGAGATGTACCTTTTCAATCCAACTCTTTGTGGGAGCCTGAATTTTTTTTTTTTTTTTTTTTTTTTTGTTTACATCCAATAAACAGCCTAGTTTCCTAGGATACAGGAGCAATGATCTTGGCTCCACTGCTAGTAGCCATCAGCATACTAGACCACAGATGTAATTTCTGTTTGGAGTTAGTGGTCTTTTTTTCTTCAGTTTTTCTTTCAACTTTTTGTAATCTTTTTTTCTTCTCCTTTGCACTCTCTGCAAAGATCCTAGAAGAGTCATTAGACTCCTCTCTCAAAAATAAGAAAATAGTTCTAATTTGCTAACACAGCTGTCTGCTGAGTAGTCAGTCAATATACAACAGGAAGAGCACCTTGTGCTTTACAAAGTTCTGTGTTAGGATCTGTGTTTTCATTAGAAAACACTTTTTTCAGGTGCTGAGAAAGCAACTGAGCCATGTATTAGACAGTAACTAAATTCCAGGAGAAGTTAATGGCAATTAATCATAGGCTCAGTCACAGAGTATCCTGAGTTGGATGGGACCCACAGGGATTGAATCCAGCTCCTGGCCATGCCCAGCCATCCTCAAGAGCTGCGTGGATCCCACCTAGTTGAGAGGTTATGTTTGTTCCCATGTGTGCTGCAGCTGAAAGTTATTGATGCAAACAGCCAGGAGTGTGTGTGTACACAGTAAATTTACAGTGCTGATCTTCTAGTACGTATCATTTTCAAAGTCATTAGAACTGAGGTGGAGTGGGGCACCTCAGGACACAGTTGCATTTGACCTCCATTGCCTTGAAGAAAAAGACAAACCCAAATGCTACACTTGGCTTCATTTTTGGCTGCCCTACGAAGATGTGATTCCAGAAAAATAGTTCCAGTTTGTGCTTGCCAGGGTGCAAACTTAAATGCTGTTTATATTGCTGAGACTGACCTTAGACTGTGGCTTCATCCTGAGTTATCATTGGGAAACACAGTTATATTTAAATCTTGCTTTGCAGAGGAGGAGACAAAAATCTCAATGTGCTATAAGTACAGTTTGATATCACTGAATTGCACAGGGATTTGTTCAGTTGCCTGCTCTAAAGTTTTAGCCACCACTTGAAGTAACCTTTTGCTAGGTAAAGATAAACATGGTTTATCTCAGTTTACATGCTTAATGTTTTGAGTTTTACCAGTGAGCATCAATATCAAGTATGCAAAACTATTAGTGTCATTGCCACTTCCACTATTAAGACTTGGGCATTTTAATTGTTTTAGGTAAGACAAATTAATACTCATCGCAGTAATTTCAGACAATGATTCATTACTCAGTACCCAGTACTATATATCACTAGCCCTTTTCCTACCCAGCTCCATCTCATATAAGTCAGTTCTTTGGGTTTGGCATGCTGCAGTTTACAGTCAGACTGTGAAGTACTGTAAGGCTGTTGCTCAGGATGTTTCTCACCAGAGTGCCATTATCTGACAGGAGATGTGTAGATCCAGTTAAAGAATTTTTGTAGAGATGGAGCTGGAAGAACCATTAAAGCACTGTCTTCATTTTCTTTCTAGATAGATGCTGGTAATTACACCAACCTTTTGCTGCTTATGCATTTCATCCATATAAAATACATCAATGTGTGTTTGTGTCTTAATGAGAATACAGATTTAAGAGCATTTCAGGTTGTTTTCAGACATGATGTTTTCCAAACACCAGGTGGCAGGTATGCCCAAAATATTCTCCAGTCTCTACAACAGTTTAATTACTGGGATTTTCGTAGATCTGTGACATCTTTGGTTAATCTCATTTGCTTTGAGACTTGGTCATCTGATGAGAACACCTGTATTTGTTTCTGTAGAGGTGACCAAATGATCTCTTGCATGTTAAAGAACTGTTCAGCAGCCTTGTCAACAAACCAAGTGTGCAGTGGGTTGCTCTTAGTTGTTTTCTTTTTTTTTTTTTCTTTTTCAGGCCAAGATTGTGTGACAATATGAGTGCATGAAACATAACTCAGGCACTCTACTGGACTGCATTCTTTGCTTGCACTCAATTGCAGGATTTTACACCAGTAAAAGTAATTACTTTTGTTGTTTTATCAAGTCAATGTTGATAAAGTTAATACACTTCTTTGGCTGCTTACTGCTTAATGAATACTACAAATGAACCTTTGGCTTCCAAGTGTGTTGGAACTTTAATTTTCCTGCATACTGCAGGGAAGAAGAGTTTCACCTAAGAGGGGGGAAAAAAGAGAATTAGGATGGCAGAAAAGAATAGCATCAATGAGAAATTAATGTGTTATATATATTCAGTAGGGATTTATGTAACATTCACTTAGGATACATTCATACTATTTCCATTTAAAAATGTTTTAAGCTAGCAGGTGAAGTCATGTAAGTTTCTAGTGAAACAGTCTTGCCCACGCAAATAGCTAATACATATCCAGAATTAAAATTTACATCTTGATTTTCATAGGAAAAATCCCTTGAATGTCAATGATTAGGCCACAAAAATAACTTCATTCATTGCAATATACAGGATTTGTCCTACTCTGCCCCTAATAATGACTGTATTTTTAAGGTGTTCATTTGTTATATTAGTGTTCATTCCCCCACACTTGTGGGGAATTCTGTACTTTAGGACAGAAAACAAATTTAATCTGATCTACTACTGGCTTCTGCTTTGCAAATTTTTCACCTGAAGGGACCAATATCTTATTTTCTTCTTAATATCTTAATTCTGCAATGTCAGGCAAATCTCACTTTTTTTCAGTCTACAAACCAGCATTTTTCAAATTGAACATTTTATTTAATCTCTGATCTAGAATGTTAAAAAAGCATCTCTGTGTTTTTAAAATAAGAATTAATCCAGGTTATTTTGTTTTTATTACTGTCCTGAGTAGAGTGATAACTGTGTTCCACCTAAAGCTCTATTCAGGTCTCAATCCACCTGAACTCTGAGGAGGTAAAAAGGAGAGTGTTGAGAAGTTATGTTTGAGGAGCTTGCAGTTAACTTTTGATGTTATTTCCTGGTTTCTTTATGGAAGATTATGTAGTAGGTGAAGCATTTACTTGGTAAGCTAAATATTCCTGAGGAAAACTGCATCACTGAGTTTTAGTTCTTCACCATGAGATCATGAGAGTACTCTGCTGTGCTGCTGCCCTCAGTGAGCTGTGGACAGTCAGCCCTGCAGGACTTCTCTGAGACTGGGCAGGGAACAGGCAAGAAAAAGCATAACCTCATGTAGTGGTTAGGGCATTAGAGGAAACAAATGGAATGGTTTTTTTCAAGCTGAAAAAAAAAATCATCTCAGGAAAGAGTAGCATCCTTAGTAAATACATAAGTCTAAATTAGATGGAATTATTTTCCTGTTACCTTTGGAAGTTATACACCCTTTTAGTGATTGTAGAATAAATATCTGTATATATACATATATTGGACAACTGGAACTGGTTTTTCTTTTCCTTCTTGCTACAGGTTAAGTAT